TCTATTCAGTCACACATTTTATGGGTTGTGACACCTTTTTTCCATTAAGAGTGTATATAAGCAATGAAAGAATAATTGTCACTTTCTGCAAAAGGATCTGTGCTGTACTTAATTGCAGATTCTAAAGAAGTATTTAAGGACGTTTAGGTGTGCCTCAAGGTGGCTGGGTTAATAAAGGTACTTGAGAGGCATTTGCACATTTTCGGCTGAGATGTGTTGACACTGCGATTTCTCTTGAGTGCCCTCGCTGCTGCTAAGCAGTCACATGATGAGGATTGCGTAACAAGGTTAACAAAAAGAAGAGGAATAAACCCTTTTCAGCAAGGAAGAAATTGAAGAATTGGTGAGATCAAAATATTCATTTCTGGAGAAGATGGAAGGGGAAATAGAGCAGAAATGGGAGAAGTAGGATTGACTTCCCAATTATTTCAGTGTTTGATGGATTTGGTGGTAGTGGATATAAACTACATACATAAATTGTACTTGGGCAGTTTTGAATTAGACTGAAAACAAACTGTTTATTTTGGTTCTATAAACCAATAAAGGAACGTAACAGACATAAAAAAGTTGTTCATGCATCAACGAGGATCATTTATCATTTTGTTTTTCGATCGGGTACTTATAAGAATTGAGTTATGCAAAATGCACGAAGGCACTTTGTAGAATGAGTTCTTTCCTTTACGACAACAAACAACTGATAATGATAGGATATTTAGTACAACAATAAGATACCCAGTGTAATCCCACAAGTGCGGTCTGTGGATGGGAGAGTGTACACAGACCTTAACCTCTATCTTGTGAGGTATAGTGGCTGTTTTGGATAGACCCTCGGTTCAAGAAAAACATTTCAAAGCTGATAGGATATTTTGTAAGAGATAGAAATTCTTTCTGGGCATGCAGGAATAATGACGGCACTTAATACACCAAATCAAACGGTGCATAAGAAATAAGCTCAGCATAACTAGTGACAACATAAACTACTATCAACATTACTTATACACCCACCCTATCCAGCACTATTCTTATACACCTTACTAAACGAACCCTAATAGAGTTGTAAAAGCAACTTTCAAAAGCACTAAGATAATGAACTGCGTGCTAGATTTTCATCTTGAGCTGGGTACCGAATATGTATTTCAAAATGTAACATTTCAGTAAGATATCTAGCTTGATATTAGAATTTTTGGTTGAACTGTTCAATTCTACAATGTTCATGGTCAATTTGCAGCACTCGTGTTCATAGTATGCAATACATGTTCTTTGACTATGTATGTAAAAATATAGCAAAGCGAAACTTTCAAGATGTCTAAGTTTGAACTCGTGGAATTGTACTTGATAAATACTGCTCAGTTTATAAGGCTCGTAAGCATGAACTTTCTATCTCTCTCGCATGCTTATCATTTCCTTTTTTTGAAGTGTAGATGTGAGCTGCTGCCATTCCAAATTTCAAACTTGAATTATGAATTGGAGTTGCCGGCCCCAGCTGAGTTCTATGCAATGTCAAAGCTTTAAGAGAAGCTTTTGAACTAGCCGGGACCAAGTTGAGGTATTTCTTGAGTGAAGAGCTCTCTGAAGTTCATTATTCAACCACTTCATGCATATACTTTGAGAAGAGGATCAGAAAGAAATTCTGCCATCTCGCTTTGGAGAGAGGATAAGGCTGCAGTCACCACATTTGCCTCTGTAATTTCCTGTAATGAGTAATGAGGAAAAACAATCTTTACAGATTCAAGATGAACTATATAGCAGTGACATTCATTTATTGTTGTTTTTATCTATCAAGTTTCCACCATTACAATTGTAATCTCATCTGGTTTGAATTATGTTGTTAAATACAATCATTCAAGGTTGACACAAACTATTGGGGAGTAAATCCTCAGTACCAAACATGTTGTGTCCGATTCGATTTAACCAAGCAGAAGAGTGCTCTGGAATCTTTTTACTGGCATTTCCAGCACTGGATTTAGCATTTTCTTCGCTTGGATGACCATCTACGAGATTAACTCTAGGTGATCTTGTGGATTCTGTAACTAGAAGTTTCGAGTTTGAGTCCTTGGGATGGAAACGTTCTTTGATAGGGAGCGCTTCTTCCAGTAATAAGCACAAAGTATCAGGCCAGTGGGATTCGGATACTGACATGCACCTCCTTTCAGATCTCTTGGAACTCTGCCTCAAAAGTAAGGAGCTCTACAATATTTCCTTCTTATCTTTACTGATCTTGGAGAAACAGTAAAATTGTCTGTGTGACCTATATAGGTCATGGGCTAGAGCCGTGAAAGCAACCACTAATACTTGTAGTAAGGTAGGTTGTCTCGTCACACCTCTTGGGATGCGACTGTAAATATATTACTGCAATGAATGGGACTTAAGTCCCACATTGGTTAAATGGGGAGCTGATATGAGGCTTATATGGTGTTGGGCTCTCCCACCTCAATAGCTAGCTTTTGGGGTGTGGTTCTCGTGAGGTTGTAGCAAAGATTACAGGTCTTGTCTTCTAAATGATCCATAAAAATACATCTTATTAAAGAATGAAGATCACAATTACTGCATATTTGGTTAATGGCTTCCAAGTTCCAAGTATATGAAGCTTCTGGCTTCAGTATTTCTCCTTCTAAGTTCCTCTTTAAGATGCATATGTCAATGCAGTTTTGTACAAGGGGTCTTAATTGCTAACTTGTTAGTTTTTCGAAATGTACATAAAAAGTACTAAAGTTCTTAAATGGAGTGACATAGACAGTGAGGATTCATATTGTCTATCCCAACTAGCTTCGTATTAAGTAGTAGTAGTTGTTGTTGTATAGTAATTAAATGTCTCTCAGTGCAGGGAAACAATATATATGTAGCCTCCTTGGATAAAAGAAGATCTTTTGGTAAACTAGTGTTGCTTTAAAAAATCTCTAAAAATAATATGCTCACACTAAGTAATTTTCATTATTCAGTCTGCATAATAGAACAGAGAGCTGATTTATAACTTCATAAAGCAACACTAACTAGTCTCAATCAGCAAGAAAGTTTATTTTAAGTTGTTAAAAAAAGTACAGGTAATCAAATAAACAAAAATACTCTTCTCTATGGCTTTACTAATTGCATAACTCATAGTATGAGATAATTCATCATTTCTCTGCTTCACTGTGAACCATTCAGCTCATAATCTTTGTTTTTTTTGCCCCTCTTCTTCAAGACTGCAGTGCCTATAACTTAGTAGACATAGCCCTTTACAAACATTCCTTGTTTAGCTTCATCAGATTCACCCTCACCGGTGTACTTTCCGAGCTGAGCAAGAGAGTTTGCTTTGGCCCTGACAAGTAAAGTATCCTGAGCAGCCTTCACATTCTCAGGTTGTCCTCCCCATGTCTTCAAGCAAGTGTTCTGAAGAGCCCTTGCGTAAGAGAACGACACGTGCCACGGGTTTGGAGCTTGGTTCATGGCATTCAAGTTCAATGTAGCCTCAACTTCTGATTGCCCACCAGACAAGAACTGCTCACAACCCAACAATATTGAATCAATTAGCATAAGATATGTACTTTCACTTATTCATCTACCACTAGCAATGGACTTACAATTCATATTCTATATGTTGGGAAAGTAAAGTTACTATAAACTTCTTATTTTACCCTTAATGTCATGCTCTTATAGCCTGTTAGAATGTTCAAGACCTAAGTTTTAAGGGTACTTCTGATATGTGGCAAAAAATTTCCTTCTTAAACTTTGTGCTCAATCAGACAGTGTCATATAAAATGAAATGGAGAGAAACTTGCCATGATTCCAGGGACAGCTGGGGGAATCCTCCTCTTGAGGAGATTGAGAGTATAGTCTGCGACCTGCTGAGGAGTGGCCCTGTCTTTGCATTCAGCACCAGGAGTAACCATGCTTGGTTTCAAGAGGATACCCTCAAACATGACATTGTTCTCAGCCAAGTAGAAGAAGACTTCAGCCCAGACCTTCTGTGCTACCTCAAAAGTCCTGTCAATGCCGTGTTCACCGTCCAACAAGATCTCTGGCTCCACAATTGGGACCAAACCATTGTCCTGAGAAATGGCAGCATAGCGAGCCAATCCCCATGCTGCTTCCTTCACAGCCAATGCAGACGGTCCGTTGGGAATGCTCACCACGGTACGCCTACAAGTTACCATAATTTTAGCATTAATCTTAAGATGGGTCGGTTATATGAATCCTCACTGACTTGTCGCTCTATTTTAATTCATCTCATACCAATATTGTGCAAAATAAGGATAGACTAGCATATAAACTTCTAACATGATGAAAAAGCCCTTTGAAACAACTGATTGGTATCGTCCATATAGATTTTTTCTTCCTCTGTTGTGCCTATTATGAGAAAATAACAAAGTGAATGAGGACTTCAAATGTACCATTTGGCGAAACGTGCTCCCTGTTGGTAGTATGCAGCAGAGCGGGAGGCAAGTCCGTCAAGACCTTGACACCATGACTCATCATTTGAACCAGCAAGGGGAACCAAACCCTGTGAACAGATATAATGATTAGGGGATTGACAGATATCTCATTTCAGTATAACTTGCTCTTGTTAAACATATATAATAACCCTGCCTTTCCTCTTCTATTGTTAGTACAACTACATATATAACCAAGCTAGTTGGGGTTGGTTATACAAATCCTTACTGATCATGTCATTCCATTTAAGTTTCTGCTCAGACCAATATTATACAAAATAAAAGTTACTAAAAGTTCACTATATTTTCTTACCGGCAGCATTAACTCTTTACTATTGTCCTTTTTCAAGTTGTGGGTGCAGGTTAATATACTATACCTTGTCAACTTTGATACCAGGAACAATGTTTTGCTCAATAAGAACATCAACTATTTTGCGTCCATCAACGGTAGACTGGTAGAGGGTCTCCTCAAAAAGAATAGCACCAGAGATGTACTGTCCAAGGCCTGGAGCTGACACCAGCAAGGTACGGTAAGCTTGGCGGTTAGCCTCAGTGTTTTCCAAACCAATGGAAGCCAAACGCTTTCCACAAGTGGCATTCGACTCATCCATGGCCAAAATTCCACGTCCTGGTGATGCAACAGTTTTCTACAAATAACAAACACTTCATTGTTAGCAAAGAAAATTTGTAAAGTACACAAGCTCATAGCTAAGAGTTCAAGTTATACACAGTAACAGTATAAAAAAATTGTGTACTATCAAAGGTGTAATATAATTACGTATTTCCCCTTTTTCTTGACAGAATAGCTGATTGATGCATAAAATTTAATCTACACCTTTCATCCTTATTACAACTACTAGTTATTTCGGTTTCCAATTAGCGACTATAACCTCAGAATATTTAAACTGAACAATTCACAAGAAGAAATATTCCGACTTCAAATTTAACCGGTTATAACAGATTATTACTCTATTTTTCAGGTTAACAAATAAGGCATGTCATGGAGAATTACATGCTGGTAGTGTAAGAATTCCTTATACTGACAGTACACAAAACATAAACTCGTTAAACTAAAACTTACAGCGGTTTTAATGAGCTCATCAGCATAAGAGGAAGCAGCGCAGACAGTAAGAGAAGTGGCATTGGTGGGATGGCAACGGACCACTGAGACGGAAGGCTGACGAAGGCTTTGCCCCTTTAAAAACTCAGATTTGTCAAGAACTGGGGATGACTTTAGTAGAGATGCTGAGGCCATTTTTTTTTCTTTACTTTAAATTTTTTCCTCTCTACAAGAAATCTCCTTATCTCTCAGCACAATCTATTCTCAATGTCACTCTTTGCCACACAAATTTCTCAAGCAGAGTGCTAAAATTTATAACTGTGCTAAAGTGTCATTGAAGATGTATCATTTGAGGTGGTTATGAGCCAACCAATGACTGTTTGACATGTAATCTTGATTAGTTTGGCTACTTGGCACATTGTACAAGTTGTTGATTTAGATGGAATTATTGTAATGGTAGACAAACGTGAGGCTCTGATTAGCAATCCTACCTTGAGTGGCTTGGTAACATTTCCCTTTTTGTTTTGGTTATCCCAAGGTGATCAGTGGTCATGGTTCAGTTCCAGGATTGGGTTTGACAGTGACTTTCAAATATTCAACAATTCCTTTTTTAAAAGTAATAATGGTGTCCGAACCAATTTACGTGCACCTCATATAATCCAGGTACCTCCAAAAATTGCCCATTGCGGAAAATTCGTCACTACTTACCGTCTCACGGCTGAACAGAAAAATTTCATGCACCACATATAAAATCCCATCTATTGTATCAGCCAACAGTCTCCAGTTCAAAGGAAGGAAAGCATTAACTAAGTAATCTATACCAATATACAAGGAAAGTTGAAGGACAAAAACCTGTTTTCTTACACTAGTTGCTACTTAATAATCAAGCTAAACAGGGGTAGTAACTAAAACATAGAACAACATCTGCAAATTTCTGTCTGAGCATATATGATCGTCTTTCCTTCTTGGACCATGCACAGGCATTCAACCCTCTTTCTACGAGAAATCAAGTCAGAAACAGTAGGCTGCAAAACGGAATTGTTGAATTTTTGTTTAAACTGCTTGAGCTTTGCATCTAAAGCAGCATGCTCCAGATCAGAATTTGGATTTGCAACATAAGTTAATCAGTCGTTGGATTCAATGACATGTCATCGAGGCCAGAAACGATATCATCAACCAACTTGTCGACCAGTACTTCAACATTTTCAGAAGCTGGAGGGATGGAGTCCACGGAGCTTCCTACAAGGGCTTTGTTGAGCTGTTTAACAAGTTCATCTTCCTCATCGGGAATGTCAAGTTCCCAGACCTTGAATATATAGTCATCCAAATTTTCCTCAACAAATGTTGAAAACTCTGAATCTACTTCAGAATCGGAGGCTTCAACTACTCTCATGTCCTCGTTATAGGTGGAAGAAAAAACATTTTCTAAGTTAATTCTGGACCAAAAAGTATCTGGATCTTTGTTATTAATCAGATGACGAGTAGTGTCCCCTTCTTGTTCATTGGTTGGAGAAAAATCATAAATCGTGTCATCTACAATCCCTGAAATTCCTGTCTCTTCAATGGTGGGGACAATACGAGAGTCTTGAGGAGAGTCATCCCTCATCACTGCAGAAAAGATTGTTTGGGAAGGAAAAGTGTCCAGTAAGACATGTTTCAAAGAATCCATGCCGTGGTCCAATATAGCAAGATCATTAATGAGGCATGAGTCAGCCCATGCTACATCCTCAGGTGAAAGCACAACTCGACTCTTGTTGCTATCTATAGAATTGAGGTCAAGCAGAGAAGCACTGTCATCTTTCATGTCATCATCAACGGCCATGGCCATGGCCATGGAGAGAAGTTCAGTCATATTCCTTAGCAACCGCCCTGCAACAGAAAGTACATAGGTAAAGCCTTCAGGAACCATCAACAAACATTTTATGATGATAGGATCCAAGATACCATCCCCTCATCAGTTAATGACTCCAAGCACAAGCAATTAAAATAAAACCACAATAGAACCGTTTCAAATGTCATGAAACTGAGGTTTCAATAACAAAAAGATGGCAAAAAGTGGGTTACTAGCATCAACAATTCATCACCAGGGAAATCTTCGGGATCAAACCTAAGCAATTATAATACCAAGCAAGAAAGAGACAGATGAATATCTTCAGCTGTTGTAGCAGACTAGTACTGCCTATAATTGATGAAATCAGTTAAAAGGCTTGGTGTGAGTGTCACTACTAAGAGCCAGACCAGAATTAAACATACAGAAGCATCAAGGGAAGGAGGATTCAATAATATACTCCCTACTTTGACCATACGGAAAGAGAAGCAAACTTCATTCAAATGAAAGAATCACTCATCATGTAAGGTCTCGGTGTACTTGATAGAATCCAAAGGCAGAACCATTGAAGGTGCAGCAGACATAGCCAACATAATATCATCAGGAATGACAAAGAGTAACCACTAGATTTGCATTTACTATAACATTAGCGCTAAAACGTTAAACAACTTCTAAACCAAACCCTTTTCTTCGACTATCAAAAGGGTTCTTCACATATAGAAACCAATTATATGAGACTATTCCTCAAGGATGCAATTCTATGATGACTAATATTTAAATGCATAACCTTTACTCCGTTAAGTTTCCACAACAACATGAATTCAGTATTAGTTCATTGCTACAGCTCCTACCTTGCATCCTTACCGGCCCTTCCTTTCCACTACTACCTACCTCAAGCTTCTCTCACACACAGCAAAAGGGTGAAAGTAGCTGGTTAGTCCAAACTTAACAATATTCTTTCATATTGACTTTGGAATGACCAAGCAGAGGTTTTATACATGAAATATGAAGTACTAGCAAAAATGCTAAAGCACCCATTCTTTTTCATGTACCAATGAAACAATCAGCCCTTATTTTTTTGATAACCATGATGTCTCTCGCACATTGACTAATTGCACGAGATACCTGCCACCTCCCACGAAAAACAACAAGTACCAGATAACTTTGTCCACCAAGACTAGGACACGAGAAAAAATCACCTAATGTTTTTGCCTCTGCTTAAATTTTAACCTGAAACCTTCTCGACTAATTCCACGGATACCTGCACCCTCCCACCAACAACAAATACCAGGTAACACTATCCACCAAAGACTAAGACATATGCAAAGGAATCACCTTTATATTTTCGTCTCTGCTGAAATTTGAACCTGAGACCTAATGAAACAGTGAATACTTTACAATCACATTTTCTAAATCAGAGATTCTGCAAATAGTTTAGCAAATAATTTGTCACTCCTTCAATCATGCAATGCTGTTCTAACAAAACCGAGTCCAGCAAGTATGTGTCTTTTAGACTGAAAATCGAGTTCAATAGTTCCTCATATAAGTTAATTTATTTATAACCTAAGATAATTGAAACAATAAATCAAGACGAAAAACACAGAGTAAATCGCCTAACTTTATATAGCAGCAAAAATGTCAAATGGATTGAAGGAATTGAAACGAAACCAAACTTGAAAGCTTGAACTTTATCATCTCCTTTCCAGAAAGAAAAAAAAAAAAAGAACTATAGAAATGGCAAGATACCTTAATTTATGAGTTCAAAAATGTGGAAGCACAAACCGAGACACATACGTCAACTTATATGCCCACCGCCCACCGTTTCGTTTCTCTCAAAGAAGAGAAAAGAAGTAATAAAAGCGATCCAATCAATGTTTCAGCTTCAAGTACAAACTTAGAATAGAGGGATTTTTTTGTGAGGGAAAGTAAGAATTTGGGCCTTTGAATAGAGGGATTTGGGCTGTATTTTTTGGGTGGGTAGAGAAAAAAGAAAGAAATTTTACAGAAAAAAAGTTTTTAAAAAAGAATTTTCCGTTGCCGGGACTTGAACCCGGGTCTCTCGGGTGAGAGCCGAGTATCCTAACCAACTAGACTACAACGGATTTGTTGTAAATTTTGCATTTTAAAACTAAATCGTATAAATAAAGATTTTCTTAATATGGTTTACCCTTTTCATATGGAAAAGGTTATATTATGAAAATAACTTTGTAATAAATCACAAAATAATATTTGAACTGAACTTCTTGAAATGTCATAAAATATAGTGTACTCATGCAGTGGCGGAGCCAGAAATTTTAATAAGGGATTCAAAATCTGAGAAGTAAACACACGAATTAGTGGAAGGGGGTTCGACATCTATTATACATACCTAAAAAATAATTTTAACCATGTATAAATAATAATATTTTTCGCCGAGGGGTTCGGCATGTAATATATGTTGCCTCCGCCCCTGTAGTCATGTAATATATCGTAATTTTTTCTTGTAGGAAGAGCAGTAAGTCAACATATGCATGCAAAGAACATATAATTTAAGAGTGTGTTGATTAGATAATTGGATGTATTAGAAAATAATATATGATCGTTCAAATCTAAATAGACTCAGCTCAACAGAGACAATTTTGATTAGGATTCAAAATTATAATCATGTTCAGGTCATTCGAATATGATCATAATTTATGTCCGGCACGATATATAGCGATAATGATCTACCTCATGGAGTGAAGTTATTGATCGTTTATTTTTGTCCCGATATATAAGGTTTACTACCAGGTGACTAATCCCAAATAAATTGAAATTTTCTTCAGTAATTATTCATTAATGTAATGGCTTTAACGTGTAGATAATGATTATTATTAAGATGGAATACATGGGAGACGTTATATGGGGCTTAGATTATAAGAATGAACACCTCTTCAACGGTAACCTAATTTGTTTTTGTTCTAATTTTTATATAAATAAAAATAGTATTTAATTTTTATATTTTGTATATCTTCTCGACCTTTAATTATCAATTTTATAAAGACCTTATTGACAAATATTTAATAACCTTATTGACAAATGAATGCCCACGCGTCTCTATCTGCCCCATGCCTTGCCATTTAATATGTGTGTGTGATTTCTCTATCTTGCTTCTTTTATCTCTTCCTTTTCCTTTTGACCAAATACTAAAAAGAAAATTGCAAACTGAAATGAAATAATGTAGTTTCTTTTTCTTCTCTCAAAGTGAATTTGGATATTTTTAATATCTATGTTTTAAAGTTACTTTACAGATGTCTTTTTTACTATTGATTTAGCCACTTCAATAAAAAAAAATTGTCGAATATATGAAACGCAACATAAATAAAATATTAATAATATCATTAACTATTATCATTAAATATTATCAATAAGAAAATATGTTATTTTTTGTAACCGCCTAAAAAATAAATATATGTTACATAAATTAGAATCGAAAAAATACATTAAGACTACTTTTAGTATGATTTGTGAGCCCGAACCGGCACGGGGCTTTGCATCTAGTATCATTTGTAAACGTTCAATAATCAATAATATAGATAATTGATTCCTTTGATTGAAAGCTCAAACTAATTATTACAATGGAAGCGTAAGAAATTAAACCAAAGCAGAATAGAGAAATAGGTCAAATTCTCATTTGGCAAAATATTGAAAGAGAGAGGATCCAACTATTTGAATTGCAAAATAGCCTTACATTCATCAAAATTAACAACATAATTTCATGGCTAAAGAATGATCCTTTACATTCTTTTTCCAAAATAAGCAACATGCAAGATTTTTACATGTTAAAAACTTGAACAACTTAATAATAATATACTCACTCTCTATAAAATGTCACAATAAGTTATTGTGACAATACATTATCACATCATTTAAAATCCAAATTAACAAAAAAAAAAAAGCCTCTTCCTTCTTTGCATGTGCAAGATGAGAGACTATTTAATTATATATACAATTCATCACCAGAATTTTAATTAGCTCTGATGATCATCTAATTAAACGTTAGGATTAGCTGCAAAATAAGCAAGTGCACCAACAAATGGTGCATTAATATAAGTAGTTGGCTCTGATTTACGAAATTCATCTCTATTATCATCATAAACATCATCTTCTCCAGGACCACCAACAATTGCACCAACTAAAACGTTAGGATTAGGCTGCGATGAGTTAAAATAAATCGAGCCCTCATTGCATCCGATGACCTGAGGATGATCGTTGATCGATGGAATAGTCGAACCACGATGATGAATTTTTTGAGGATAGTAATTACTATAACCAACCATGTATGATATACCTTTAGGATTTTCACCTAAAATGTAATCAACTTGTCTCTTACCAATTTTTCGAAGCATAGATGGATTAACACTTATAGTGCCACAATTCAATATTTGTGATGATTTTTCTAAGTAATTTGCGTAGACTAGTAGTAGGAATGTGATTGTTGTGGCATGTTGTAAATTGCTTCCACCAGGCTTGTAAATTAGGCCACCAGGAGAGTATTGTATATGGGAAGATGATGATTCTGGGATTAATGTACACATGAAGCTATCTGCTGATGATTTATAAGATTGAAGGGAGTACGTGGTCCCATCCAACACTTCCTGCATTATTAATCTCTGCATTATACTCGATGGTGGATTATAGTATGTGGATGCTATTGCTATTTTCAATTTGAATAGATGTGTTTTGGTATGATAAAAGTTTTTTTTTTTTAAGTAGGTGAGTGAACGAATGAATCTGACCTTAGAAACAAGAACATTTAGGCCTGCGTGCTTATTTTCCCATCCAAATTCATCAATATTATCATCCGCACCAAGTGTCTGCCGATTTTCTTGTATGTAACTTAGATAATTGTCTCCTTGCGTTGCCCTTCTTAGCCACGCTGCTCCCCACAACAATTCATCCTAACCATTATTGTTCAAACACTTGAATTAGTTATATATAATGTTAATATCAATTTTGTTTGTGTCATTTTAACAAAGTAAAGAAAATTATTTAATTTTGTGATATTAAACTAGCTTGTTTGGCTAAGCTTATTTTTCGCTAAAGTGCTACTTTTTTCTCTAAAAACGCTTGTTTTTTTTTTAAAAATGTGGTGTTTTAGCTGAGGGAAAATAAATGTTTCTAACTTAAAAGAAACTTTTAAAGACTTGGACAAACACTAATTGCTCTAAAAGTATTTTTTTAAAATTCCTTAATTCATTTAAATTAACTCTAGCCAAAAGTACTCTTTTAATTCGTTTATGTGAATTAACTCTAGAGTTGAGGGTAACTAAGTAATACTAAGAGGGTGTTTGGATTGATTAAAAAGTTGGTCAAATCTACTTTTAAGTCTGTTTATGATTTCTAAAAGTGTTTGATAAAAATAAAATAATTTAAAATAAGTTAGAAATTATTTAGCAAGGTTAAAAATAACTTTAAAATGACTTAGAATAAGTTAAAAATCAAAAGTAGGTCTCTTCCTACTTTCTATTTTTCGACTTAAAAGTCATTTTAATTTATTTTTAACTAAAAAACTATTTTTTTTAAGTCAATCAAAACGGCTCTAATTCAAATTTACCCCAGAAGATTTATTTTAGAAAATCAGGTGTTCCTTACTTTAGTTATACTCGTATTTCTTTAGGTCCATACTGTTTGTCTCTTCTTTTTTTTATACCCCTAAAAAATACGTACTTGATTGTTCTTTCTGTTCTAAAATAAGTGTTGCTTTATTTCATTTCAACCATTCAAGAAAACTAATAACTTACATAGTTTACTAAGTTGTCCTTATTTATGTTTTGTTGAAAAAATTGAGCACTATTAAGCTATTTTTCTTTTTTCTTAATATAGAAGTATAGTTAAAAATAATTATTTATGTTGGTCAAAATTTCATCTATCTACAATAATAATGAGTTAATTAGTTTGTATGAGATCAAGAATGCTTGCCTGATATCCATCAAAATCACAATAATATGGACAAACTCCATCTCTAATATTGAGATTATCACTGTAAGCACCACGGTTCTTATCTGCAAAATCAAACACCCTTGTGGATGTTCTCAAAAGTGTCTCCGCGTATCCGGGATCCGAGGGCCGGAAAGCTATAGATGCAGCTGCCAGGGCAGCTGCAGTCTCTCCGGCCACGTCAGATGCCGGATTCGGGGCATCCACTGTGTACACTGTCCTAGCAGTGTCCATATCTTCTGGCCTTTCCCAACAGTTATGGTCTAGTACAGGATCACCCACCTAACAAAATCAATATACCAAAAAAAAAGTAAATATGTCAGCTACCAAAAGTGATGGCTAGTAATTATGTCCCATTTAATTTTTTCTAACCAAAGAAATAAAACATCACATGAGACACTAGTTTTTTTATAGCTGATTTGACACCTACTAAATAATATTTTTGGTCTCTCAATTATTTATAAGTTATATTCTGGTTTAGTCCTTGTTGTTTATGGATCTAATATTTTAACCTTTAATTAATTAAAGTGTATGATTTTAGTCCCTTTATGTATATGTTATATTAGGATTATATTTAGAAGTATATCACCCTTAAATATGGGTAATTAAATAGTGAAACAATTAAGACTTCTGAATTTTTGTGAACAGCCACATACAAATGGTTTAAAAGTGAAATTTTCAAATAATTGAAGGTTATATATACTTAGTCCAACAATAATACAAAGGCTAAAATAAGAATTTACCTATGATTGAGAGACCAAAAGTGATATCAAGTTTTTTCTTAAACTATCAAAATATTCTAAACTAGTTTCAGGGTTAGCAATTAAACTCATTTTTATAAAATGTGTAATTATTTTTTAAATAAAATCATAGTGGATCAAAGAGAATTGTTCAAATAATAAGCATTCTTCGTTATCAATGATGAAGATTACAAATTTGAATCATAAAGAGCATAAAGTAGGGAAGCTTATAGGGAGGGACAATTAATCTTAACCAAGAGAAATACAATATATGCAACGTAGGACAAACATTATAGGTTCACGTGCTTGGAGTACGACTTATATATCTATGTATAGCTCCATACTAGCCTATACTTTTTATAATAAGAAGAAAAAAAGACATAAATTCGGTTGATACAAAAATTACTGAGTACTCACACTAATATCATAGCTATGTCCCTAAATTATGCATAGGAACATGTTTTGTTGCGTATGCAAATATCGAAAGGATAACATTAAACCAAAAAAAAATCTAATATTACTAAATTGAAAAGACAGAAAAGTTCCACGCAATAAGGTTAAGGTTATATAGGACAATAACCATACATTTAAGCATATTTACGTATATTAAGAAATTAATTAATATAATAAATAATTTATTAAATTATTTCTATTTAATTATATTTTTTTTAGAATTAAACTCTTTTAAGAAAAGGAGTATGAAGATATAATTGAAAAACATATATCTATTGAATTTTTAAAATAACACTTATTTTGAAACAAAATTAATAAAATTATTTTAATAAAATGACAATTATTTTGGAATAGATAGAATAAGTTCATTTAGCTCCTTCTTTTTGCCTTATAAAGAAAAATGTACTCTCTCCAACAATAGTGTTCACTATTGACTTTGCATAAATACTTCTCGAGAAACTATATATAGAAATACTCATAATTTTACTATATTAGCCTTTGAATATAATAAATACAATATCTTGAAAAATGTAATAGAAAAATGACTATAATTAATAATAAGAGTAAATTAAGAATTAAGTTTAAAATTATTCATTAATTATATAAAATGACAAGTATTATTGAACATTTCAAAATAATATAGTAGATAATTATTGTTTGGCGGAGAAAATATCTCGCGGATGGAAAGCAAAATGTTAGAGCAGTATATAGGAAGTTGAGGTGCACGGTGTCAAAGGTAAAAAAAATTGGTGAAAACCAAAACTTGGCGCCGTATGACCCAAAAGAGAAACCAACAAACACATCCATTCCAAGAATCAATTTCTCTTTATCAGAACCACTATACCTGTCATTGTAACACTCCTTTATACATCCAACCGATTCTTAAGCAAATCAAGTTTTTTCCCACCAAAATATTGAAAATCCTAAAGATATGACACGTCTAATTCAACTTCAAAAGTTAATTCATGAGAATAAAATTGTCTAAATTCATATAAGTAGATTGTTCTTTCATTCCTTATAATTCAACGTGAAACTTTTATCCATTCTAACAAAAATTAAAAAAGATACATCATTTATTAGTTTCTCTCAATTACTATTCATCAACTCAGATCATTAAAAGTGTGATCTAACCGTTAATGAAGTTAACAAAAGTCATGAGAGATTAATGGTCATAATCCTAGCAAGGACTTTTTGAAATGCTATTAAGTTATTTTTTTCTTTAGATAAATTTTAATTATAATATTTCACGTGATATAAAAACATTTTGATACAATTTATAGATTTTTAATTTAAGATTATAAAATTCAAAAAAATTATTTAATTCTTAAAACTCTATGTTTAAAACAATGAGAGTAATAGGTATAGATAGCTGCTCGTACCACCAATGTCACTTTATTAAGCACCTTAAACCACTTATTAAGCTAATCAATGTCTATTACTGACGTATGCACTCCATCTGTTTCATTTCACGTGGAACTTATTTACTTTTTGAGTTTATTTTTTAGGAAAATATTTTTAATATTTTCATGTTTAATTAACTAAGAGTTTAAAGATTATTTATTGAAAAATAGAGAAAATAAATTTCATATTATTAGTTGTTTCTCTATCCTCTCCGTCACATTTCATTTCATTCCACGGTGCAATTTCCACCATTAGTTCTCATCCACACCACACTCCTCCCCCTTGCCTTACATTATTTATATTTAGATTATATATAAATAATTTAAAATATTACTTATTATTTTACTTATTAAATATTAAAATAAAATAAATGAGAAATTTAATTATTTTTTAAGAAAATATTTTTTCTATATTGAACACACTATTAATATGTTTTAAAATAATGACAATTTCGTATTTTTAAAAATATTTTAGCTTATTTTTTAAAAAAAAATCTTACCTCTTAATTAATGACATTCTTATAATCACAAAATGTAAAAACAGAGGAGTAATAGTTTTACATGCACAAAACATACAAAGTCCAGTAGAAACAGAGAATAAAAAAGTTCGGCATTTTTAAAATGCTTTAATTACTACTTAATTTTGTTTGTGGAAACAACCTTTTTATATCCCCGAAAAATGATAAAGTTAAATATACGTTTAACCTAATTTATACTCCACTTGCGGGATTTTTGTTGTTGTTAATTTTGTTCGTTCAGTCCCATCCAAAAATTAAATAAAATTAAAAAGGTGAATAACCAACCTGGACGAAAATGCGATCGGGCTGAGAAACAGTTTTGAGAAGATAATCAGTGGACCAACGGATAGCGACTAAAGCATTCCGTAATTCCGCAGGCGGCATAATTTCCCCAAATTCAATTACACTCCACGCAAGCAACGTCGTCGTAAACGCCATCGGAAAATTAAACTTCACATTATCTCCGGCGTCGTAGTAACCACCGGTCAAATCAACGTTCACCGTCCATCCATCGCTTAAACCGGAATGTCCTCGCCAGTTCATTCTCTGGTCCTGCGGTAAATAGCCGGAGCGTTGGCCTTCGAAGAAAAGAATGGATTTGGTTAATGCGTCTGTATAATCAAGGTAGCTTCCATGGCAGTTTATTAATGGAAGAAGAAGAAGAAGCAGCAGCATTAATTTTGAAGAAATAATTTTATTCTTCATTTTTTTTTTCTAGGCTTCTTCTCTTCTTACTACTATATTACTAGTAGGTGTGGGGAAAATATTTGGTTGGGTTAGTGAATTTATAGTAGTAGAATAATATAGTGGTCTCTCTTTGTTTTGTTTTATTTTATTTACAGTACTACCTTGTGATCCTGTATAAGCATTAAGCTATTAGAGCCTAGAGGTAGTTTGTTACTCCCTGCGTCCATTTTTATTTGTCATATTACGCTTTTTAAAAGTCAATTTGACTAATTTTTAAAATTGAATTAGATGACATTAATTTGATATTTTAAACAACAAATTTAGAACGGACAACATATAAAGAATTGTAGCTAGGTCCTATAGAAATTGGAATATATTCAAAAATTATACGAAAATTACTATAAATTGCAACTTTTTGCATATCAATATGATGAAAAAATGCATCATAAACTATTAGTTAATGTTTTTTATAGTTTGACTTTTTAAAAAAAATTATGATAATTAAAAGTAGACGGATATAATAGATGGTTAGAGTTGAGTAGCTAATTTTTTAAATTTTTTTATTATTATTATTAGAGTTAATTATAGGTGAATTTATATATACTTTATATAAAGATTAATTATGCAAGGTTTAAATTATTTATGTAATTTTTTATTATTATTTTATATATGCTTTAGTTATACAATTTTTTTAGTTATAAAACAAACATTATATTAATTTTATCATGATAAAGAATGTTACCAAAATATAATACTAATAATACTTATGCATGATTTAATATATAAATAACTTACCCTTAACCATCTATCAAATATTCCAATTTCAAGTTAGGATACACAAAGAAGTAAAAATAAATAAATAAAAACAACTCTCTCTGTATATATATATATAAAATAACCTTTCTACACGATAAATTTTTTTTGATTAAGCGTGCAATTGACAAAAAAACAAACAAACACTCTCTCTCTATTTATATATAAAAAAAAAAAAACCTTTTTTTATGATATAAATTTTCGATTAAGAGTGCAATTGTCATTCTTTGGATAAAGGGTGACTTTGCCATGATAGATCATAAACAATGATACGAAGTTAGAATTTTCACTAAGAAAATTTAAAATTTAAATACGTGAAAAAAGTAAAAAAAAGTTCAATATCTATTATATTTACATAAAAAAATTATTTAAATCATATATAAATTATATAATTTTTTCTTGAGGGATCATCTTTGCCCCGATCATAACATTTATTTATAGTTATAAGATCCTAGTATTAAAGGAAAAAGTCCTATATTTACAAAATATTATATAATGATTTATAATCGTAAATTTAATACTAATTTTTTTCCCCTTAAAATTGTGCTAAGTCAAATACTCTCTTCTTCTTCTTTTTTTCTAAAAAAAAAAAAAGCAAATGTGTATTATAATTTGAATCAACATTTTCCCCTGTCTCAATTTATGCGATTTACTTTTATTTTTAGTCAGTTTTAAGAAGAACGACATATTTTTATATTAAGTAACAATTTAATTATAAAATATCTATTTTATTCCTAATGAAATGATTTACAACCACACAATTTTTTATCATTCATTTTGGACCACAAATTTTAAAAGTCTTCATTTTTTTTAAACTCCGTGTCAAATCAAATTACTTAACATAAAATGGGACAGAGTGAATAATTATTTAGATAATATAGATTTTTATATATAAAAAAAACTAATAAAAAAATAATGTTAAATAAAATATTAGTGGTTGCAAAAATAGGAAGGGTCACGGGAGGGGGAAAAAGAAGAGCAAGGATTGGATGAGTCGAAAGAAAGTGAAAGCAAATAAGCGCCGACAGAAGACAAAAGAGGACAGTGTCAGTTAAAATTCACATGTAGAGAGAAATGTGTGACTCTCTAGCATTTCTTTTTAATTTTCCGTACGCCTTTTAAAATTTGATTAAATTTAAATTTGTGTGAAACAGTTCATATTGAATAAAATATTTTTTAATAAAAAGCAATTTCGTACCCAATAAATTTAAATTCAAAACTTTTAATTAATAATAAACGAATACCTATCAATCCACCACAATCTTCTAGGGCCAATCCTCTAACATTACTCCTTTTATGTCCCCATAATATTTGGTTCGTAGCTATTCCAACTATCTATACCCACTTGTTTTTCTACAATTCATTATCTTTTGGGGGAAGGGAGAGCGGGGTTAAACAAGAAAAGAATCACAAGAATTGGAAGTATTTTACATTTTCACTTAGGATGTGTTTGATGGTTTTTTTAATATGTAAATTAAAAAATTACTTAGAAAATATTAATATGTAACTTAGCAAATTATTAGGGGGTGGGAGTAGAGTATTAGGGTCCCTAATTTAGGGTTGAGCGAATGGCTCGGGAGTGGGGAGGGGTAAAAAAAAGTAAAAAATATTTTTTACATATTTGAGAAACTTTTAATTTAAATGTCTTGTGTTTTTTCTAAGTCTAATTTAAAAATATATATATCATTTTATATTTGATAACGCATAATTTCAATATCTTACTGGTTTGTTTATTTTTTTTAAAAAAAACATTTACACACATCTAGGGTACCAATTTACTGAAATCTTTGAAAAATTAACTTAGTAATATTTAACACATATAATATAAAGGGAAGGACTAGATATAAATTATAAAATTTTCGATTACTAAATAAAATATGCAATAAAACTTTTATAAATGTAAAAAGAAAATCCTTAAGTATTGTCGGTCTAGATGTACATAACTGATAACTATTGAAGCTAAAAAAGCAGTTTACTTTGCGCTGAGAAACCGTCGGTTACACTCCAACAAGAGACTGGACGGTTAAAAGGACAATACAAAGCCAGGATTCATGTTTACTTTTTTCTTCTTCTTTTTTTAATATATATATTTTTTATATTTTTTTTTGCACCAGGCTTCATTTATACTTCATTTAGAATAGCGTCATCCTAAAGAAAATAAATATGCCTGAAAAAGAGATAAAGTAAGTTTTTTTTTAAAAAAAAAAAAACAATATTTCTTGGTTGTTTATATGTGTGTGTTTGTATATATATATATATATATATTTTGGATTAGGGGCGTCTGGTTAATTAAACGTATTGAATTTGATGAATATTAGAGCAAATATGAGCTATTTGAATATCAACATCAAATAATTTAGGAAAAGGGACCAGAATTTATTAATTTATTTATTTATATTATTATCTCCTTAATTGAGGCATTTTAGAAAGGACACCATGAGTACTTGCTAGCTAGTGTATACTGTGATTGTTAAGTGACCACTCACCAACCGAAGTGTGAAGTGGAATAGTAATGGTTTCACTATTTTAGTCAGATATATCAAGTTCGAATTGTTAGACACTAACTAAATAATTTGATTTGATGATAATTATAATTTGACTCGTTGGTTGGTTGTTATTAGCACGAATGGATGGTGTCTTACCATAGCATAGGTGGATGCATTGTAATATTTATGGTGGTATTTCATGTACCAATTATATATTGTGTTTAAAATTAGAACAGACTTATCTATAGATCAACTATCAATTTTTTTTTGAGTGAGTTGAATCACAATGATCATTTTACCCACTAAACTAACTTGATGATATTGCTTTGATCGAAACATTAAAATGTTAAAATCTTCATATTCAACTTTTCATGAAATAAATTCAAATTAGTTAGATCCGTGAATTTCGGACGTTGAACACTTGAAGAAGGACAAAAACAAAGAACTCGTACGTTGTAATCACACAAATCCTTAACCTACCTTACAAGATCTACAAACAGTAAAATCGAATACATATTTGTTTGCTCTTTTTTTCTTTTTTTTTTGTTTAAGTGGGGATAGGAGAAAAAGATTGTGATTTGTGCAGAGTTAGAGAAAGCAACGGAAAATTTGATTTTTTAGTCAATTACAAATTTAATTGTAGTTTAACGCTCGTGACAAGTAATATGTGTGGTGCTGTTTCGTAATACCAATATAATGTCTATAAAATTAAAACGATTTTTTTATATTTTTTAGTAAACCGATCTATCGCAACCATCTTATACATTAAACTAGCACTACAGGAAAAATATGAATTACATGGGGATTTTCCTAGGGATTAGTATGAAAATCCTCATGAAACTAAATGAAAATGATCTACAAACGAGACGCCATAAACAGCACAAGTACCCTATTAGTAGTGAATAAAAAATGTAGAAAATGCTAAAACCTTTACATTCATTTTTCTTAAAATAAAAAAGAAGAATTTAAATTAGTCGGATTAGTAAATTTCGAACATTACACACTTAAAAAGAAAAAAAACGAAGAAGGTGCAACCACACAAATCCTAGACCTACTTAACAAGATCTACAAACAGTTAGATCGAATAGTTTTTTGTTTTGCCCTTCTATTTTTTGGATTTTTGTTTGAGTGAGATGGGAGAAAAGAATTGTGATTTGTTTAGAGTTAGAGAAAGCAGGGCACTAAAATAGTGCATAAATAGGACACATTGCCAATGACATAAAGCTAAATTTAGAAATAGACATAAAAATCAAGGATCAACACCTACTCCCTCCATCTATTTTTTCATATTTATTTTCAAAAATCAAGAAATAATTTTAAAACTTTTTAAATTTAATTTCATTTTTGTTATTAAATACTATTTATTTTTTAATATTTAAATAAATCATAATAATCAGAAATAATATGATAAAATTATCATTCAATATATTATTTCTAAAGATATGTCACGTCTCAACAAAGAAGTATTAAATAACAAAAGAAATTAAGGATGGTGTCCTTAGCTAAGTGGACATACCAAACAATTAATAAAAACGATATCTACAAAAAGGACCCACCAATTAATTGTATTGCTATAATTGGCCCATAAACTATTACGTATCTAAAAAATTTGACACGAATTTTAATTTGCACCATAAATATTTTGTGGGAGCACTTACCTTATTCTTGTCGCATACTTTTTTTTCATCCTTATGTACTACATTTATGGAGAACTCCAAAACTCAATTTTTTCTGTTTTCTTCCTCTAATTGAAAGTCTTAGACACAATATTGTTTGAGTGTTTGAAACGCTAATACCTAGCTATCTAAGTGTTCAAAGCTTCCTAATTGGGATTGTAAATCAACTTAGTACAACCTTACAATCCTTAATCATACTACAATTCTTTGTGATAAAATTCATTAGACTCTCAACCTTATTCCTTTAAACTTGATCAAAAGTTATCTTGAGGTGATTCAGACTTGATCAAAGATTATCTTGAGGTGGTTCAGACTTGATCAAAGATTATCTTGAGGTGTATTGTGCTCTAGACACTTGAATGATGTGGCCCAAGCATGTAGACCCACACATAACACTAGGGATGGTTTAGGGTCGTAAAATATTAATCATTTCATCATGGAGCAAACCAAAGTAGCTTGTGTAGTAAAATAAATCTGATATTTAATTTTCATAAAGTAAAAGATTAGCTAGTGATCGATGCTCATGGCAAGTATGTGAGAAATTTGAGCACTACACATTACACAAGGCATCAAATACCAAACTCAAGACCTAGCATTGAGCTACTGATCACCACAAACATTTCAACACAGAGGCAAGAATCAAGTTTAAAGACAGTATGTGCGCCATCAAAGGCTAATGAACCTTAGTTAAAGCATATTACTCAATACGGATCCGTGTAATAATTTTATTAAACATAGAACTATAAAACTAATGTACTAACATGTAAATATGAATTAAATGACTGTTGTTGTTTTCTCATTAATGATTTTTTTACCAAATGTGTTCACTGCATCTATCCCTATGCAGATCTATCTTTTATATGTGACTGCATTTACACTGAAGTACAAGCAAGAGCGCCATTCAGATATTTATCAAAAACAGTCCCTTCTTCCTGTGATGTAGGAAATAAAGCCAAGTGCTGTATTTTGCCGGTGGTAATTTATATTGATCTGACCCCAGGAGTACCAAATGTTTCCATTAATATCATAACACCCTTATACTTCACTTTTTTGTAAAAGAAAAATAAAATAATTAGGGCCTCCAGGCTGCATGTACAATACTGTCGACTAAAAATTAGGACTAAAGCAAAGAAAGAGATGACCTTGTAGAGTTACATTAGGAAAATGTAACTTCTTGACCGACGAGCTTCAATATGAGGTTCAAGAAAAGCATGCAAAGTACACTAACCAAACTCAATGAAGGCGACTGCCAGTACTTACTCAGACACACACATGAGTGGTTGAGTAGTGGGTTATAGAATTTAATTTATATACTCTGACGAATTATTCAATTCATAAATTATAATGAAAAAATTATTCAACTACTAGAGGAGGGTCCATATGAAAAGTTATGCATTTCAATACTATGTACAAGTGGATGAACACATAACAGGTGATCCAGATCCATTATTGAAAGTCTAAAACACAAAAATCCATCATTCAAGTCTGTCAGACATGAACACTAATATCACATATACCAAGAAAACCCCACCTCATCATCAATCAGCAGAATCACCAAGTAAATGTCGATCGCCTAACTGAAAGTTACCATTCTAAACAACAATGGTAACTTTGCATCTAAACAAAACGTTTTAAACAAGAGGAATCAAAATTACCATTTCAAAATCCAAGATAGTTCAAATGTCAATCTCATTTCACAAACAAGCGGAACAAGATATCATCACCCACCACCTTATCAATATGCTACATTTCATCTATTAGTATCTTGTAAGGATTGGTCTATAAGCCTTCCAGAGAGGCATTCAAATGGTGTCCTCCCCTTCCACCCACCCACGCCCCAAGGAGTGACAAATCATCATGACCACAGCTACCTGCATACAATGTCCTGTTATCCTCCACCACCAATGGCCCAAAGTCCAGTTCCCCAGTCTTCAACAATACTGGACCTAGGACAACTTTCACATTCACCTAGACTATTTAACCGGATACCTGATACATTCAATATTTTTATATGTACACAGTAATTCTATCCACCAAAGCTTAGACAAATGGGAGATAAAAGCACCTAAATAGGACTAAAGCAATGAGAATTTCAACTGTTCGAATACAGCAGCAGCAAATTTCTAAGAAATAAACATGTTTTAAAGAGAACAATTTTGTGCTATAATGAACAGTAAAATATACAGCCTGAAAGAAATTTGATGTCTTTCTACAGAAGAGCTGCAGGGTAGAAATCAGACAAGTAAATCAATCATACTCAGAATACCAATTCTTGCATGGAGCCAAGTAACTGACTTATAGTTCAAGATGACCATCTGCTAGAAATCTGATGTTTTCTTGAGAAGATTATAACCGAATATATCGTTTGGTTGGAAAGAAGTTATCCATCACTATTTATTTTATCCCTTACACCAAACGACCCCTCAGTATAAAACATGTAACAGAGATTGGTTAGACTCTTATCTTAACCCTGTATTACACTGGGTAAGAATAGCTTTGTTTGCTCTAGTTAAAGCATAAAACAAATAAATCACTTAGTTCCCACACATGAACATAGATGGATTATCCAGTAAATTACTAGACTAACTGAAATATACTTTGCTGAAAAAAATCAACATGCTATCTCTTAAATCCTTACAACAGATCAGAAGGTGTCTCTCTACCCCACAAAGGTAGGGGTAAGGTATGCGTACATCCTACCCTCCCCAGACCCCACTTGTGGAATTACACTGGGTATGTTGTTGTTGTTACTTGTTACTACACATCAGAAGGTGTATAAACCAAGAATGAGTGACTGCTTGTATAACTGGAGATGAAGACCGTTCCAACTGAGGTTGGCTGAGAATAGGCTAACTCTGAGCTTTTAAGAACTAAATCCTTGCAAAAACTTTCCCTGAATTGAAGAATGAGAAGCTAGTTCAGACTAAACGTAGATAGTAAGCAATGAAAATATATGTGGAGCTTAGGCATTCCAGACTGCAAATGGCAAAGAGGGAGTTTAATTTAAAGAGAATAATTACTACCCTTTTCTTTTTGAGAAGGTAACATATTATTTATATATATATATAAATTAACTACACAAAAACTGTGTAGTCATCCATATTTACAGTGTGATGCAATATAGATGGAGTACACTGGTAGGATCTTCTCATACTTCATAGATAATACTTGCATACCAGGACCCCTTTCAGAAATGATTATTAAGTGCAAGTGAAGAAGAATTCAGCTACAAGTTCACAAAGGCACTCTTGTCAAGTCAGAGCATTAGACTATTCAATCTATGAGAACTAAGTTTGTTGGATCAGTGACAGTCGTCTTTCTTCCTTTTACAATGGTCTCGTTTCTCAGACATGAACCTTATATTTCCAATTGAAACTAAGTAGAAATTATTAGTTTTAACCCCAACAGTTGTCTTTTTAGATTTAGAGAAGTCAATTCCTTGTTCAATCCTCCTCTGAGGGGCATTTCTATTTAAGCTTTAGAGAATCCAGTTCCAGTGGAAGACTAAGTAAGGCACAGTATAAGGTCCAATCAATCTCCTCCAACAGGCAATAGACGGCTCTGACCTGACCACAGTCAATCGGTCTATTGTTCTGGTTCTATATAGTCTAACCCTAACCTCACTTTCGACAACAATAATAGGTTCTATAACCGGATCACACACACTAAGAACACGGCGGATTAGAAGGGACAAGAGGTTCTGCTCATCAAAGTGTGACACGCAAGGTCAGGAGATTTTAACTTCACTAAGCATGCAATGTATTTTCAAGGAACCATAACTCTGAGAAAGTGAATGGTGTTACCTAGCAGCATCCAGCAAATAGCTGGCTAAATGTTTTCTTCTGTTGGAGGGAGTAACCCAAATGGCTCTAATGCCACATAACGCAGATACAGCTTCCATCTCACACAAGACTACTCCACTGATGCTTTCATCTGACTCTTCATGACTTTTAGTTGAGTGATTTCTTCCTACCATTTCCCTCTGGAAACTCACTCCCCCAAATTGGAGCGTGGTTGAAGTCCGTCTCACTTCCTTCTCAGGTGAAACATTACACCTGCTGCCCTCTGGTCTTGAGAGAATCTTATAAGCCTTCTTTATGGGCTCTGCTACAAGACATCCAGATATTCTTTGAGAAGATATAAACAGATACACCTGTTAACAGGACAAATATTTCAGAGTTTCATTCACAGAGCTAGTCAAACTCAACCTGTCACATAACCACCACACAAAGGGAGAATTCTTCATAAAAATTAGCAAGCAAAATGAGAAAAACCACTCAATGTCATAGGATGATTACGAAGCCACATTGAACTCAAGTAACTTAATACTCAACTTATAAAATAAAACGTAGCAGAGAATAGGAAGCTGGACAGTTGAGATTTGATATTGATTAGAGCAAAATTTTCAACAATGAAGTTTGCTTTCTATTACTATAAGTTTCATAAAATTGCAAGAGAACAAAACCTTGCATAGCTGATGATATATCCACCCATCTCCAAGTTCCATCTCCATCATCTTCACAACTTCCTGTACCTGTCAATAACATACACTCTCTAATTCTATGAACTATGTTTAATGCGATAATCTAGGGAAATATCAATTGTGAAAGTCAAAACATGTTTTTTCATGCATAACCAAATAGTATATATAAACCTTATTTCTCTGAGGAGGAGGGTCATTGTCCAGCACCAGGATAATACATCCAATTTCAAGTGAAGGAATTCGAAGTTTTCTTTCATTCCGCCAACCCTAGACATTTTATCAAAGCATGGTAGAATAGAACTTTAATCTTTTACTAACTTTATATCATCAAGCACAACAGAAAATTTTGAAATACCAGAATTTGTTGCAGAATTACCTTAAATGGAATACCATGCGTATAATTCTTGTGAAACGTCTTATGAAACTTTTCATCCTCTTCATCACCTCTGGCATACTTAAAGCCACAGACAATACAGGTGTGTAATAAAAAATCAGACTGACCCAATTCCAAATAGAATTGCGCATACTTTCTCTTCTTATTCAGAACTTTCCCCGACTTCGTCACCCCAAAGTTTGGCACAATATTCTCCAAGTCTATTTCCTTGGATGCTTCACCAGCTGACGCACCATTCTTTTCACTGGAAAATCAGCTTAGCATAAGCAAAGAACTTGAAGAGGAAAGAGAAAGGGTCATTTATGTTAGGTAGTAACAACTCTGGTGTATAATTTCCCTTTAAACACATGCTAGACAATTTTTTATGCTAAATTTGTTCAAGAAAATTAAGAAATATTGTGTAAGGTGGAGGTGTTCAAATGAACTGAAGCTGGTAATGTCAAAATCTACACGAGTGGTGTTACTAGTTGTGGTTTCAGTCACATCGTCCATGCCTATGACCATATCATCTCTACAAATGTTTATGATATTTTGGCATATGAGCTAGGGGAAGATCCAGTGCCTCCCACCAATATATCAGCCACATGTTACTGACTCATGAACAGATAGAGGAAATGATAACTAAGATAATTAAAAATGGATGTGCTTATACAGCTGATTGCTGAAAAAAAAAAACAATTAATTGAAGAGAAATGTGGCAAAAAATATCATACCAAATTGAATTTTGAGGTCTTCGCTGGTAGGTAACCAGAATTTCTGGCTGTACCCTCCCATAATCGAACTCAGCAATGCAACATTGAGATGGGTTTGCACTCTTGCGTGTAGGAGATGAAGACAAGGGCATGAAAAAGTTGTTAATCTTCGATTGCATGTTTCAATTTCTTTGTTTTTTTTTCGATATCCTCTCAACCTTTTTCACCGTTCACAGTTGTATATTGGCCATTCCTACAACAAAAACAAAACAAAGGAAGTGGAAGTCTAATTAGCCTTTAGATAGGTTGTTACCTTTAAAACGGGCTTAACTCAATTTCAAAAGATAGCTCATCCGGGTAGGATTGCCCAAGTTCCCAGTGGCGGATCTAGGATTTAGAGTCCGTGGGTGCCAAATAGACTTATCGATTAACAATTATTAAAAAAAAAAAAAAATGTGCCAGCTGTTTTTCCTTAAAAAAGTGTTCTTGGAGCCTTTTTTTTCTTAGCAAATTTCTCAAAAAAATAGGTACAAATGGGATTCGAACCCGCAACATCAGCCTTCTAAAGTTGCCCTCCTACCGTGGCACCACAAGCCAGTTTTGTTCTCTGGGTGACACGCTTTATATTTATACGATATTATATATATATACCTATGTATATATAGAGTTTTCGTCAAAGTTCGGGGGTGGCGTGGCACCCCCACACGCCTATGTAGATCCGCCACTGCAAGTTCCCATAACCAAACCATCAGTTCATTCACCAACCAATGTAGGACTCTAACACCCTCTTCACACCCAAGCACAATGGGAACGTGGATGGGGAGCCCAAAAAGGATGTGTCTGACTCTCGTATCATGTAAAGAAATGGATAATTGAGCCTAACTCAACCCCAAAAGATAGTTGTTAAGTCTATATAAGCACACCACCGGTTTATTCCCCAATTACAATCAATGTGTAACTATTAAGACACTTTAATAAGCTCATTCACATACGTCAATTAAGCAAACAAAAAAAATTCCAGAAATCAAAAGCTGCCTAACATAGGAGATGAACTATTGAAGCAGTAAATTAAATAGAAGACCAGAATAACACGGGAATACGGAATTCTGCAGCACACGTGAGTGAAAATAAATAAAAGTAAAAAAAAACTCACCGATTTCAAAAGTATTTCTGAGAGTCAGAAGAAAACGAGAAGAACCTTAGTAGCACTCTTCGCTATTTTTCTTTGGTTAATTTGGCGGGTTTTGAAATTTGGCGCCTGGTTAATTTGGGGGGAAAATTGACTTTTCCTCTTTGGGCTTTTTTTTATGAAAAATTATATATAATATCAAACTATTAATTCAAATTAAATGCTATAAATATAGTTTGATTTAATTATACCTCATAGCAAACTATTGATATTTTACCTCTCTCCTGGTGAATCTCGCTCGCCACTCTCGTTCTCTCCCTAGCCTCTCTCATTTTTTATACAAACGCAAGTGTATAAAGTGCGTTTGTGTTTGTATAAAGCGAGAGAAAATTGTATATATACATATAATTTCGTTCCCCTCTCCCAGATCTTGCTCGCCACTCTCCCAGATCTTGCTCGCCACTCTCCCAGATCTTGCTCGCCACTCTCCCAGATCTCGCTCTCTCACTTTATACAAAAAACACAAATTGTATAAAATGCGTTTGTGTTTGTATAAAGCGAAAGAAAATTGTATATATACATATATTTTCGTTCCCCTCTCTTCCCTCTCTCAGATCTCGCTCGCCACTCTCCCAGATCTCGCTCTCTCACTCGCCTCTCTCACTTTATACAAAAACGCAAATGTATAAAATGCGTGAAAATTGTATATGTACATATATTTTCGTTCTCCTCTCTCCCCTCTCCCAAATCTCGCTCGCCACTCTCCCAAATCTCACTCGCTCGCTCGCCTCTCTCACTTTATACAATTGATTTTTTTGTATATGTATACCAAAGCAGATTATACAACTGTTTTCTTTTGTATATGTATAGCGAAATATACATATTTATGTTTGCTATGGAGCGCAATTATGCAAACTTTGTTATAGCATATAAATATGAATTTTGTGTTTGCTATATGTGAAAGTTGTTCTTTTTTTTATTGGATTGTGGATGAGGATTGTTTTGTTTTATTTTATTTTTCTAAAATGTGTAATTTTGGCAGAAAATTTTATTAATGTGTATTTGTTGAGAATTTAAAAAATACATAAAATGTATATGTGAAATGTAATTATTTACAACTTAGGAAAGTAAAATATGTAGTTCGTTATTAATATATTTTAAGAGCTTGAAGTTAATTATTTGAAAAAATTTGTATCTCATATAACTTTAACATTATCACATCTATACTACCTTAAAAGCATGAACTTTCTAACTTTAATGTTAAATTACTATAATACTCCCAACTTAAGACACCCAACTCATTATATATTCTATATTTAATATTATATTTATATACACTATATTATATTAAATGCAAACACCTTTTTACATTGATGGGTAATGACCTTTTCGAAAGATTGTGTCTTTTTTTTATAGAGTTGTGACTTTTTCGATGAGTTATGACATTTCCGAAAAGTTGTGATTTTTCTAAAGGATTGTGACTTATATGAAAAGACGTAATAAGCATATTTCATACTATCATTTGTTGTCTATAAATAGAGTAGGTTTCTCACACTTTTAAACTATAAATTTTGCAAGTTTTCTATTCTTCTACTTAAAAAAAGGAAGATTGTGAGAGTTGTTGGATTATGCAATTACAATTTTTTTTTGTGTGGGTAAATTAGATAGATCAATAAAATTTGATGAAAAAAGGAGAATGAAATAACTCAACTTCAAACGAGAAGAGTATCGTGATAATATACACACTCATTTTCATAGCCATAAAATATATTTTTGCAGCAACTCTTCCTTGACAAGAAGTTCAATAATTTTCCGTTGCACAAACTACAACTTGGTGTTCAGAATCTGAAAAGTCTCGAATTGTTGGAGAAAAAGTATTTATTCAATAACTTGTTTGAAGAATCCAAACTACATTTAATAAGTACTCTTTCATTTTCAATTTATTTGTTGTACTTTTATTTTTATTCAGTTTTATATAGAATATTCTTTTTTCCTTAGGGGTGAGGACGCATCTATAAGACTACAAAGTTAAAAGATATTTTTATATATTCTACATATCATCCTTAAATTAAAAGTCTTATTTATTTTTTAAAATTTAATATCAAATATAAATTAGACCAATCTATATCTATCTTCTTCTTTTTTATCTCTACTACCTTAAAAGAATGAATTAGTAACTTAAATGTTAAATTATTATAATACCCCCAACTTAAAACACCAAATGAAGTATATCTTCTATATTTTATATTGTATTATATTTATTTATGTGTATTATATTACATTATATTAAAGGCAGACAACTTTTCACGTTAAAGGATTTTGACATTTTTGAAGAGTTATAACTTTTCTGATGCGTTGTGACCTTTTTGAAGGGTTGTGACTTTTCTGAAAAGTTGTGACTTTTTCGAAGGGTTGCGACTTTTACGAAGAGTTATAACTTTTCTGATGAGTTTTGACCTTTCTGAAGGGTTATGACTTTTCTGAAGGGCTGTGACTTCTTTTGATAAGGCACCACAAGCAGTTTTTCATACACTATCCTTTGTTGGCTGTAAAAAGAGGGCCTTCATAAAAAATTTAAACTACGTTTTAAAAAAAATATTATTATTATTATTCTTAAAACACACAATTTAGTATATCTTCTATATTTTTATGATAAGAAACAATATGCACATACTAATATTACACATTTTAAATTATAAATGGAGGGGTTTTCTCACATTTTTAAACTACAGCTTTTTATGTTTCCTATTCTTCTCTTCTTAAAACCTCATGTTTGATTTATAAACGTTGACAATCTCAAAGTTCAGTGAAATTAGAACACTCCATAACATGAATGTTAAATTAATCTAATAATCTAGATAAAACATCCAATTTAGTATATCTTCTATATTTGATATCAATATTTATTTATATTATATTATATTAAAAGTAAGAACACCTACAAAACAATAATAACAAAGTAATGCACTATGGAGAAGGGGTAGAAAGTTTATTTAAGAGGTGTAACTAAGAGATTTTAAGAATGACTAATTTTTTATTTAGCAATATTCATATTGTTTTTAAATATATTGTGGTACATGGTTTGATTTTCACGTGCAACGCACGTGTGTCAAAACTAATCATACATATAAACACCACACTAGATCTTTTGTTTATCTCACGAGATAACATGTTAGTTAGATAGTTGAGTGTTATCTTATTGATCCTTTCTTAGTAGTCGTGATATTACTTTGGTGTTTTTTTGTTATGGTGTTTGATTATTGTTATTATTTTTTTGTTTCTTATATTTCGAATACTGTATCATTTTGATATGGTTACTGTTCCTCTATAAGAATATTTTGACATTCTTTGTTTAGTATTTTGTCATAACTGAAAACACTTTTATTTTAGAGCAATTTTCACATATAGCAAACACAAATTTATATTTGTATGTTATAACAAAGTTTGCATAATTGCGTTTCATAGCAAACATATATATGTATAATTCGCTATACATATACAAAAAAACAGTTGTATAATTCGCTATACATATACAAAGAAAGCAGTTGTATAATTCGCTATACATAAACAAAAGAAAGCAGTCGTATACAAAAGATCAATTGTATAATATGTGTATGTATAAAATGAGAAAGAGAGAAAGACAAAAGAAAACTGGGCAGAGAAATATTTGTATTGTATAATTATAAATGTATAGGACGAAGATATATGTATTTGCATGTGTATATACAATTTTCTCTCGCTTTATACAAACAGAAGCGCAATTTATACATTTCGTTTCTATTTGTATAAGCGAGAGAGGCGAGGGTGGCGAGCGAGATTTGGGAGAGTGGCGAGCGAGATCTAGGAGAGGGGAACAAAAATATATGTATATATACAATTTCCTCTCGCTTTATACAAACACAAACGCATTTTATACATTTGTGTTTGTATAAAAGCGAGAGAGGCGAGCGAGACTTCCACCAAACGAGAGTGGCGAGCGAGTTTCCACCAGGGAGAGTGGCGAAAATAACAGTAGTTTGCTATAGGGTACAATTAAATCATAGTATATTTATAGCATTTAATTTGAATTAATAGTTTTCTATTATAATAATTTTCCCTTTATTTTAACGCATGATTTATGTAAAATAATTTTTTTATTATTCAAGGATGTGAAAGGTTTGTTATATTCCATATTATAGCCTTCTCTGAACTGCTTATGAAATTAATGTGGGTTTGTTGTTGCTGTTGGTGGTGTTAAGTTTATTCAACTCTTTTTTAAATTTTCTTATCCTTCATTAATTCAACATTGGGATTCCAAATGTCAGAAAGAAAATAAAATCACATGGAAAAAGAAACCGATAGCATACAAATAGAATTAAAAGCAGCCGTAGGATTGCAAAAAAACGTTGAAATTAATTTCTTCCGCCATAAACAATGAACAAACTAACTTGTAAAACTCATTAACCAACACAAGTCACTTACCATTCTTAGCTTGAATCTCGCATTTCTCTCTATCAGTCCACACCTTTCAATATTAAAAAATATATATATTACATACATTTTACGATTCATCATTTACTCGGAATTTGACTACAAATTCTTCTTGATTTGTTCTTCTTGCTGCATTCTTCAGTTATTAGTATCTGAAAGAATCAAACAATTTTTTAATTTTTTTTGCTCGCAAAATTCAGGTTTCTGTTAGGATAATGCGAGCAAAATTTTGAAGAAATTTAATGGCTGTTGTTAAGCGAGTGGTTCCATTAGGGGTTAATTACGGTATTAGTTTGTCCAAATTGGGAGGGATTAACAATGTAGCCATTAATGTTCCTGCAGCTTCATTGCTTGTAAATAGGTCTCAATGCATAGCCGATGGTTATAATTTCAAATTTTACAGTTTGTATTCGTCAAAATCTTCTGCTCATTACAAGTTTGGTTATAGGCAGATGTCTCAAATGGTTAAGCTGGATAGCAAACGTGCCTTTCTCGTTGATACATTAGCTATGGTAATTTCCATTTTGTTTCTCCATTGTTCAATTTCCTTGTTTTGAAATATGATACAGTCAAATCTCTCTATAATAACGTCATTTGTCCTGATATTTTTTAACTGCTAAAGCAAATACTGTTGTAGAGGATATATAGTATGTAATATAACATAACATAAACGATTGGTTCCCCAAAAAACCTAGTTGTTATAGTGAAAATGTTGTTATAGAAGATTGCGTTTACAGAGAGGTGTAACTGTAATTTACAATTTTAGGCACTGCTCTAGTTTGTTCGTGTTAATTTGATGTTATATATTTATGCTCTCTTTGAGTACTTATATTGTTACTTTTTGTCTTGTATATAATATTGGTTTGAGATGAGTTTAAATGGAGCGACATTGCTAATGAAGATTTCTATAGCGACCTCAACTTGTTTGGAATTGATGCAAGTTGTTGTCGTTATAATGAGAAGTTGGTGTGTTGACAGGTTCGTAGATTAGAAGCACAAGGTGTACCTTCAAAGCAGGCAGAGGCAATAACATCTGCGATCACTGAGGTTTTAAACGACAGCTTGGAAAATATTGCTAATTCTTTTGTTTCACTAGCTGAAATGCAGAAAGTAAGAGATTCTCAGATAATAATTTATTTTTTTTGGTTTTATAACAACGTGCCGTTGTTGTACCAATATGAAAATGTTCTTTTATTTGTTTGTCTCTGTAGTCTGATTTGGTTCAAGAAGCCAATCTTTCCAAGTTCAAATCCCTACTACAAAATTCTCAGGTAAATATATTTCAAGTATTGAATTGTCAGAAGGTCTCATCATGTGATATATAGCAATCTGCTCTTTTTTTTCTTTTCTGGTTTGTAGAATAATTACTAATGATATATCAAATGTACACCTTTTGATTCTCTTCTTGGCCTATTTTGTACCAGTAGTCTACCTTTATCTGATCTGGTTCTGAAATTGTAATGCGTGGAGATGTATGATTTTGAATGCTGTTTGGAGCCAAATAGAAATAGTTCATTGTTGAGTTTGTGAAAAGATACAACCCTAATGTGGCAGTTAAAAATGGTTTTCTCTTCTACCCCTCTCATCAGCTGATAATTAGAGATTCTACAGTATGTTTTGAGTTGGATCTGCATAGGGCTCTGCACGTATTTCTTAGGATCGAGAGGTAGGGATATCCGCCAGTTATTCCATTTGCTACATCAATTAAACATTGTGGGAGCTCCTAATCGATGCATTAAGTTTCTTACTCCAGAATCCAGATATTGATTCATTAAAAATTCTTCTCATTTATAGTTGACAGAAGTATGTGAACACTGAATATAGCCAAATAACATGCCAGTATCACTTATTCAGTGATTCCTCATATAGGTCCTACTAATAATATATCCAAGTTCAGGAAAGCCATTTTTCTAGGACGCTCGCTATTGATTGGATCAGATTGTGTATCCTTTAATCAAGGGTTGCTACATCCACAGTGTTATGTACGGATCAAAGGAAAAACCCAGAAATCTAGTTAAACTTGCCAATTGGAAGAATGACGGACTATGTGACAATGTGGTCTAAGGATTCAGTGTTCACACACTTCTGTCACATGGTCCGTGATTCCTCTATTTAAGCGGAGGAATTAGCTTCAAGGAGCAAACCACTTATGCAATTCAGGTTGTTTATTAAATCTTCTACTACAGAGAAATTCTGAAGAAATGGTATATACGGAAAGTCTGGTGGCTTGAAATGAAAGTTCGACCTTGTTCATAAGACTGAATTGTTCAGTCGATCTCCATAGCTAAGTGAGTGATGTGATGTCATAGCTTCTAATCTTTTGCATAAAAGTTGTGCTGATGCAATGTGAAGCTTTAAACTCTATTTGTTGGACTGTTGATAATTGCTTACTGTAATGCCTTGTGCTTTTTTATGTTTCCAGACTTGCAAATATGAATTTGAGTTTGATATCTGAAGTTCTCTGATTGCAGGAAAATCATCTTTCTCTACTGCAACATGAAACTGAAAAGTTTCGGAATGATATTGAGAAAGTGCGTACTGAATTGAGGTACATCTGAATTGTGTGAAAGTTGATTCTACTTTTATTTGCTTACTTTGTGAACCACTTATTTGCTGATATAGGTATGAGATTGATAAGCTTACTGCTGGTCAACGTTTGGATTTAAATCTCGAAAGAGGGTAAGACTTTCAAGAGTTCCTATCTAATAACGAAGACATTTTTATACTCCATAATAAATCAATGACTAGTAGTGGCTCACTCCAAATTGCAACTTGTTGCAGAAGCATTCGCGATGAACTTGCCAAGCAGAGTACAGGGACCACCTACCTTACTAACAAGCTAGATCGAGTAAGTGTTTACTCTTGGTTACTATAGCGGATCTACACTAGACATAATTACTTCTAGCTCAGACTCTGTCTATATAATATTATACTAAAAGTGGGAAGCTCCAAAGTTAACTACGTTATGTTAATATTGTGATACGTGAATAGGAAATCCATGCCATGAGGGCCCAACTTGAAGCTGGAAAATATGAAGTCATCAAATATTGTATAGGAAGCCTTGTGTCCATCTCAGCTGTTGGCCTTGCTGTGCTTCGGTTATATGCTTAAACAGATGTTCCAAAAGAAATTTATGTTGACTCAAAAATAGGAAGAAATATAGTCGTTAACGTTATTCTTTTGGGAGCTAGTTTACTCATAGATGAATCAATTGTAATAGTATTCGAATTGGCAGAAAGGTTAACAACTTTGTACAAATGAGTATTATAATTTAACATAATGTTACTTTTTTTGAAGAGACATTGTAAAGAAAAGAAAGACCCATGTCAGAGAATTATTACGTTCAAGTTCAACCTTTTCAGTGGACAATACACATTCTTGCAATTATTGCCTCATTGGCCAAGCTTCTAGGAGGCGCTTGGTACGGCAATTGAGATTACTCTTGTCATAATTCAAGGGCCGTTCCAAGAAATATTTAGTAGTTAAAATGGCCGGAAGATAACAACAAAATAATAGTGTGCACCGATAGACCTAAAGAAACTCTCTTGATGGGAGGGGAAGGTCATATGACCAAAAGAGGAAAAAAGGAGCAATGGCCATCATACTATGTTCATAGAATGATCACATTTTTTAAATTGTCAATATAATCGAATAATTCTATTCGAGGGATCTTTCGCCCTTTCAGAATTGCATAGAATTATTTTTTATTCGTTATTGATGGATTATTCATTAGAATCAACATTCTTTTTTCCCTTAAAAAAACACTTTTTGGAGATATTTTATCTCAAGAATTGATCTATTTAAAGTCTGCTAATGCAAATCAATTTGAAACTTTAGACTTACCTACTCTATTAATTACTATAATTACCTTTCTCATATTCTTCAAAAAAATCAGATATCACAGCTAACAATCCATTGTGTAATATTTTATTTTTAACCCAAAAAATAATGATTGTATAAAAATTAAAATAGTGTAAGAAAACGACAGTTATGGGAAGACGAACCCCATGTTCTTTCATTACAGTTAGCACGTCCTTAATGATTCCTAACTACTCCACCATTTCACGTGTCCACATGACATGCCCCAAAATTATTTATTTACACCCACAATATTTATATCAAGTCCAAAAAACTTAAGTAAAAATAAAAATTTAACCATGAATATAATATATCAATTAACAATAATTAACTTATATGCATTTATATCATATCCGGCATATATTGTCTCTCTAAACACTAGGTGTGTATAGTTTTCTTTACTATTATCGCACGTAGTATTTATACAAAATCAAAAAATTTAGGGAAAAAGGATAAATATCCCTGAACTATCGTAAATGATATGCAGATACCCTCCGTCACACTTTTGGGACATTGGTGCCCCTGTCGTCCAAAAACTAGAGCATATATACCCTTTATACTAACGGACATACACGTGTCATAATCTTATCCACCGATCGACATTTATTAAATATTGGATCGACGGATAAGATTGCGCCACGTGTCCCTATTTAGTCTTCCGTTAGTGTGAAGGGCATATATGCTCTAGCTTTTGGATGGCAGGGGAACCAATGTCCCAAAAATATGACGGAGGATAACTGCATACCATTTTCGATAGTTCGGAGGTATATTCGTCCTTTTTCCCAAAATTTAACCTCACTAGTTAAAAACTGAGTGATAATGTGTTTATGGAAATCTCTCTACATTAATTGGTTAGGTGCAACATGGGCCTCATTATTGATGGGCCATATGTCTATTACGGCCCAATTGGCCCATCCTTCCAAAAAAACCATGATAGGCCCAAGTTAATGAAGTCAATAAAAATTGAATCGTTTTAATTGGATAGAAGAATAGAGTGAGTCAGAGAGCATTAAAAGTGGTCACAAGTCATTACTGAAATTCTCAATTATTATTATAGAGGGAGCTGTGGTATTTCTCGTACTTCTATTACTTCTTTTTCTAAATTGCTTTGAATTATGTTTCTCTTAAGCTGAGTGTATAGCACAAACAACCTTTCTATTTTTATAAGGATTAGAGCTGCATATGATTTATCCTTCCTAAATTCATTTTATAAAATCATACTGAATATATTGTTATTGTCGTTGTTATACGGAGTGATACTATTTGAAAACACCAACAAAAGTGGGCATATATACCACACACCGCACCACCCTTAGTGGGCTCCAACCCACCTAATGACTTAAATACGAAATGGGCCCATTTACCTTTGCCTTTAACGTTACGATAATCTACCACACACACTCACCAATGCATTGAATGTTCCCTTTTTCTTTTCCTTTCTTTCTTGCTAGTAAGGTAGTGATAACATACCAACATGGGTCATATATTGGGTGAAACTGTTTAATCCTTAATTAAAATGCTTGTGTTTGAGCCTTGAATATGAAGAAATCCTATTGAGAGCGTCACCTCAAAATGATTCCCGCAGTACATGATTCAAATTTAATCTGAGCTCCAATATGAACTCCGAACACCGAATAAAAAGTAAAAAAAAGTACTGATAATTTGAATACTCCCTTCGTTTCAATTTATATATTTAAATTTAACTCAATATAAAATATAAGAAAGTAATATTTTAAATCTGGTAATTTAAAACTACTAAATATGTGGTATATACATCAAATGTTCTTTGACTCTCACGATATTAACATGTCATATACAATATTGAGTGTAAAAAGTTATTATAGATCAAGAAACTGACATTCTTTTTAAAGCAAATTATCAGTTAAAAAATAAATAAAGTGAGATAGATCAATTGGATGTTTACTGTTCAAATCTAAAAATAGAACAATGTTATTGAGTATATATAGCTGACATAGTGACATTCAAAGAAATGAAGTCAAGGGGCATATGTTAAAAATTGATAAAATAGTTTCGACCAAATTGTAAGTGTTAAAGAAATTTATTAAGTATATAAAAATTTAATTTGAAATCTATCCATGGTTAGTTAAACATCATTCATAAAAAAAATTAAAAAATTAAAAAAAATTATATTGTATATGTAAATTCTGTTAGATTATATGGTTAACTTCCAACAAATTAAAAGATTAACATGGTTGTACTTTGAGCTGCAGTTGTTGTGCTAAATTTGGCAAGCGAATTAATTATGTGAGCATTTAGATTTTCTAGAGTTGTCAGAAACCGCTCAACCGTTTTGAATTTTTCCAACCCACTTTTCTCAAAAATAAAAATAATAAAAACAAATGAATGGTTTCTATAAGATTGACCACTAAACTGCGAATAAATTAGATTTTACACTGCAAAAAAGAAATTTAAAACCAAAAAATATAAAAGTGGCAAAAATCTAAAAGTAAAAATTACAATAACCTTCCTAAAATACGTTACATTTCTACGTCTACCCTTCCTACTACCCACAATTTACCAAAATTTTCACATTTAAACCGCAACCGAGCTAGACCCTAGACCGTTTTTAACTGAACCGGGTTTTTTCATTTCAACAAGTTGAAATCATAGAAGCAAAACCGGAGTCAATAACCTCACCGGTTTCCTTCTTCCGCCGCATCTCCAAAACTTTCCGGTGGCTATTTGAGTGAACTTCTAGAGAAAAAGTTGGACTACAAGCAGGTCTATACTCAGGAAAAAGCCGACCGGATTTGTATCTAACACCACAAGCGTTGCACAAAGTTTTTGGACCCAATGGACCGGCTCGCCACTGGGGTGTTTTTTGAACCTGACAATGGGTACACCGACGGCCTGAACCGGTCTCTGCTGATGGATTCTTTTTTGGCTTCTTCAACGGTGGCTTTTCTACGCTACAAAACAAGTCACCGTCATAAACCGGGTTCGTGAAAAAAACCCGAAGGGAACGGTGAAGAACCGTACGACGAAGAGGTGGGAGAAGAAGAGTCTCCTGAAACTGTCGACGACGGAAAAGACCATGTTCTTCCAGCCGGTCTGGACCGTTTGCTTCTCGGTTTCACTGGAAACGGTAAAGGGAAACATGGAACTCTCATTTTCTTAACAACCGGTCTAACCACCGGTTCAGACCGGGTCTCTGTAAAATCACCGGTTTTGTCCTTGAAACTTTCGGCTGGACACAACAACGAAAATTCCGACGGAGTATCATCAACAAATTGGGATAACCATTCAAGATTCTCCATTTCATCAACCTGTTAAAATGGGTTTTCCATAAAAATCCAAATATTACAAAAAAAAAATAAAAAAAATAGGCAAATTTCTCTTTTTCCCAAGGCGAAGGCCATGAGTTTTTACCGGAATAGGGAGTTCGCCGGCGAGAGAACCAAAGCTTTCCATGCCGGAAAAAGTAGAATCCTGTGAATTTCTGTTCTGAGAAGACCCAGAAAAAAAGGTTTTCTCATCATCTTCATGTAGTTCTGGGTCTTTGAAATCTTTGTCAGAAAAATCCAAAAGATCATCAACTGAAAAATCCTCAGTCGCTCCATTATTAATCCCTGTTACACACCATATATCATCAAGAAAAACTTGTTGGGTATTTTTCATAGCCATATCTGAGAGAAAACTGGATTTCAATGCTCTTGCTTCAATCAACTCCATAGGAGAAAAAATTGAAAACTAACACCAAAAAAATGAAGTTTTATTTTTAAAGGTACAGAGAAGTTTACGTTGGTTTTATGGTATGAAAATTGTGAAGAAGAAGTTGTAGAATTGCAGAAGAAAAAAAAGTAAAGAAGAAGAGTTTTTGGGTTAAAGCACTGAAAAGGGGGCGAAACTAGTGGGTGGGTTATTGTTTTTTTCCTCTTTTTATCTACTTTTCTCTCTCCTTTTTATGAAAAAAATAACTGTAGGAATTGAATTATTATTTTTTGTTTAATAATTGAGGAGTACTATTTATTACTACGGTGGGCCGTTACGCATGAAATTGTAATTTACAGATGTTGAAATATTATTGGCTAGGTGACAAGTCTTTTTTTTTGTGACTGGTCCAGAATTTCAAGTAGATTTTTTGTAATATTCTGCTTTTTAATTGTATTTGTTGGAAAATAAATTTAAAAAGACGGATATTTATTTGATTTATGGTTTACGATTCAAAGCCGAGAAAGCGAAAATGAAAGCTTTGATAAAATTTCAAAGTTTCTTAGAAGAAAAAAAAAATGAAAAAAAATGGTCAAAAAGAGAGAGCTATTCTAGTTCTAGAAAGACAGCCCTTAAATTGTCTTAAGTAATTACCGCGTTGAATTTTAATTGAAGTTTTCTTAGTGCAGATAAGATTTGTTTCTCTATGGTCTCATTTTCATTATAGTATTTATTATAAGTAATTGATTTAAAATACTTATTAATTTTAACTTTATCTTATTTTAATTAATAAGTATGAAAAGATAAATATTGTTTTTTTATTGATAATAAAGTGAAATTTAAGGGTGTAAAAATAATATGTCAAATAAAATAAACTGTGAAGTGATTAAAGTTAGCTGTTATTCACTAGGCATATACGCGGAAATACACAAGTTTAAGCAACAAATGGACCTCGATTTCATCAACCTTGAGATACATATAAATACTTCATTTTTTATTAATTTTTTTGGTTGACCTAATTATTCAATATTTTTAGCAAACAAAAATAATAAATACTCAATGAAGTAGTGGGAAAATAACAATTTTGATGAAATCTCACCTTTTAGCTGGTGAAAATTAGTTTTTCTAGCACTCCATGAAATACAAAATTCTAAAAGTTTACTGCATTTTATTTTTCTAATTCTAATTTTGGGCAACCATTTTTTTTTTGAAAAGATAATATTATTTTATACAGAACTGCATATTTTTTGGCAACCATTTGATCAGTGATGGAATGATTTTTCTTTATTTTATTACTCTCTAATTTCATTTTATATGTTCAATATGCATTTTGTTCTTTTGTGTAAACATTAATAATGCTTTAATTTTACTAATTTTTTTGTATTTACTATATTTTGAAATTCTAAAGTCAAAAATTATTATTTAATTATGATAGTAAAATTGGAAAAAGAAATCATATCTTTATTCTCTAAAATGAATTAGTAAATAATAAGATTTTCAATTTTAAAAAAATCAGATTAAAAAAATATTATTTTTTTTTTGTGATCAAACACCTTCTTAGTCACATATGGTCCTATTTGCCAGCAAATATTAGTAGATCTTATTAGCATGCATTTAACAGAATGACAGAGATCTTGTCAATGTGATATTGGGTTGGTGGGGGTAATGTAGGTCAATAATCAAAACTTTAGTTGGCAACACAATGATTATTGCTTTCATTGTGGTTTATCGAGAAGCATTTGCCTCCTCTTTTTCTTTGAAATTTACGATGGAATAAATTTGTCTATGTTAATAAAAAAAAAGTGTCTGTAGTATTATTCCTTTAATATTCGAATTGAATATTTGATACAGAGCAATAGTTCGCATGCGATTTAGTTGAACACAATAGATTTTACTTAAGCACAGTATTTATGTTAATAAGTTCAATAATATGTACAAATATTAAATTTAAAGTTTAGTTATTATTACTTAAATCGTCATTATGAAATTTAAAATTGCTAAAATTAAATTTTAGCTTCGCCCATGTGTATACTTTTTTAAAATCTATCGTTGCTATTATCCATTAAAATGTACATATTTTCACTATTTGGATGCATTTTAAATTTTTTAAGTTTCATGATTTGAATTTTGAATTTTGAATTTCAATTTTAAAAAAATCAAAAAAGATGTTAAATAACTCGTGATGATATTGATGGTAAGCATTTCCAATGTCACGAACGACAAATTTTATTATAAAATAAAAAAAAAAAGCAAAATAAATACTCATATCATAAAAAGTCAAGAATAATGTGAATGAATAGTTGAAATATATGGCGCTATGAAAATTAAAAAAATCAAAAATAAAAATCAAATTACGCCGTCTATTGATTTTTCTTTAGATATATTCAACGATAATTGTCCACTATTGACTTGACGTACCCTTTACGGAAACAATAAATAATAGGAATAATATTCTTTGATTTTATTAAATTTAATATTTTGAAAAATATGTTAGATGATAAATAATAAGTATTTAATAGCAAAGGTAAAACAAATCAAAAAGATAAATTATTTTTTAATTTTTTAAATTAAACATATATTTTTAATATAATGGACAATTATTTTTGGACGCGGGGTTATAATTTTGACAAAACTAGAGAAAGTAGCCAAACTTTGCCGCGTTGATTGCGCCGCTATGATTTGGTATATTTTGGAACTTTCATCAATCATTCTCCCGCCTCATCCACTCCTATTTTGATTTCGAATGTTATGCAATGCGCCAAAAAATTTACTCATCCGTCTCAATTTATATGAGTCAATTTGATTTATCAATTATTATAGAGTTTAAAAGAGAAAGAGATTTTTAAAATATGTGTGGTACAAAAGTCATAGATTAAGGATAAAATGAGCATTTAAATTATTACTAAATAGATAAATGTGTCAATTATTTTTTGGACTTACTCCCTCTGTCCCAATTTATGTGGCACTTTTTTGTTTTCGAGAGTCAAACAGTTTAAGTTTGACCGGAAATTTGCGCATGAAATCTTTAATTTTTTTGCAATGAAATTTATATATTTGTAAACTACGTAAAAAGTACTATAAGTCACAACAATTGATAATTTAAAAATTTTAAAAGATCTATGAAAAAATTACGGTCAAAGTTAGACTTGTTTGAATCTCGAAATCCGAATAATGCCACATAAAATGGGACGGAGAATGTATTAATAAGTAAAGTAAATCATATAAATTGGGACGTAGGAGATATATATTTTTATTGTCCGAAGCGACTCAACGAACTTGATAATCAAGGTCAATATATTGAAAGATTGTTTTAAAAAAATAAGATTCATATTATAATGAGATATGAAAGAAGCTCACATGACTTTGATCTTGTGGTAATAGTGTAATGGATGATATGCGGATTAGACATATTTTGGATATAGAATTCCAAACAAAATTATGTTTATTAAGTGGAGGAAGTAGTTGAAAAAACATTTTAGAACGTATGGTTCAAAAATATGTAGTTGAAAAAAACACTTTAGAATAAAGTAATAATTTTTTTTTATCACTATTTATAAATAGATGTGGTTCATTTGAAATGCACGCGTACTCCAAATAAAATTTATGTGTTCAAGAGAAGTATAAGCTCAAGATAAGAGTGAGTGTTTAAATGAGCAACTTTCACATATAGCAAACACAAAATTCATATTTGTATGTTATAGCAAAGTTTGCATAATTGCGCTCCATAGCAAACATAAATATGTATATTTCGCTATACATATACAAAAGAAAGCAGATGTATAATTTGCTTTGGTATACATATACAAAAAGATCAATTGTATAAAGTGAGAGAGACGAGTGAGCGAGCGAGATCTGGGAGAGGGGAGATAGGGGAACGAAAATATATGTATATATATAATTTTCACGCATTTTATACATTTGCGTTTTTGTATAAAGTGAGAGAGGCGAGTGAGAGAGCGAGATCTGGGAGAGTGGCGACCTAGATCTGGGAGAGGGGAGAGAGGGGAACGAAAATATATGTATATATACAATTTTCTCTCTCTTTATTCAAACACAAACGCATTTTATACAATTTGCGTTTTTTGTATAAAGTGAGAGAGGCGAGTGAGAGAGCGAGATCTGGGAGAGTGCAAGCGAGATCTGGGAGAGGGGAACGAAAATATATGTGTATATAATTTTCTCTCGCTTTATACAAACACAAACACACTTTATACACTTGCGTTTGTATAAAAAACGAGAGAGGCGAGCGAGAGAACGAGAGTGGCGAGCGAGATTCACCAGGAGAGAGGTGAAATAACAATAGTTTGCTATGAGGTACAATTAAATCAAATTATATTTATAGCATTTAATTTGAATTAATAGTTTGCTATTATATACAATTTTCCCTATTTAAATTGCTTAATTTTGTAAAAATACTAAGTGATGAGTAAATATTTATCTTATAAATTTATTTAATTGTGTGTATAAATTTTTCTCTTAGATTTACCAAACTTATGTGAAAATAGGAATATATAATTCATAGACCATAGTAGTTGGCTAGTTGGAGGCGTGTCTTTCATGAATAGTTCACATCGTGCGTTGCCTGGCCGGCAACTACCAAACTTTTCCCAACGGTGAAAAGCCATCGGACCATCCCACCACTTCCACACTTTTTTTTTTAAAGAAGAAAGTGACTGGAGAATGAGTCAGAGTGTTTACACTTTCATTTTATTTTATATGACACTATTTAATTTAACATAATATTATTTTAAAAAATTTAAATTTATAGTCTACAATAATTATAAATATTTATATGATTATAAATAATTTCATATAAAAAATAAAAGAAATTAAAATATTTTATTTATAATAAAATGACCTTTTTTCTTAGACAAAATAATAATAAAAAAATATCACACAAAATCAAACAAAAGGAGTTCAAATTAGTAAAAAGTCAAAAGCGGAAGCTACAGCGCAGGAGTGAGGAGCTCCACATGTGAGTCCTCTCTGTCAATTTATCATTTTTTTTATATTAAAAAAAAAATTATGTACATTTTTTGTTTTGTTTGGCTTTTTTCTTACGTCAACTTGATTTTCAATAATAGTTACTAGTAACATGGAGTTTTACTAGTTCCCTAATATAATGGCTCATTAGTCAACATTTTGGACAGCTTGAACTCTTATATTATGAGTTTGACTGTTAATGGTGATTTGATCACTACTTCTAGTATTATGGATTTTTCGTTTTGTGATACTTACCCTTTGTAGTCAATTTGAAAA